CCTTGGGGCACCCATCCAAGCTGCCCAAGGTCCCCACCCAACTGAGGTCCCTATTTGGGGTGCATTGGGTGCCCACCTGAGATCTTTGGGTGCTCTTTTGGGGTCCCTGGGGTTCCCATCTCATTGGGGTGCCCATTTAGGATGTGTTGGGTGCCCACCTGGGATCCTTGGGGCACCCATCCAAGCTGCCCAAGGTCCCCACCCAACTGAGGTCCCTATTTGGGGTGCATTGGGTGCCCACCTGAGATCTTTGGGCCACCCATCCATGATACCTGGGGTGCCCATCTCCTTTGGGTGCCCATTTGGGGTCCATCAAGTTCCCATCCTTGACCCCGTGGGTTCTCCACGTGGATGTTCATCCACCCATGTGTCCCACCACCACCCCCCAGAGCTCCACGCCGCCGTGGAGGAGGTTCTCCCAGCTCTCCAGCACGATGGCATCCGTGTCTTCTACCTGAGCTCCACATCGCCCACGCCGGGTGTTGAGGCTCTTCTCCCCGCCATCAAGGAGACATCTGATGAGCCCCTGCCCACCCACCACCGCGCTGGTGTCACTGGTGACTCCAAAGCCATCTACATCTACACCTCTGGCACCACTGGTGAGGGTCTTCTCCATGAAGAACATTGACTTTGGAAGGTTTGGGGGTGGTGGGTGAGGAACCACAGGAGGTTGTTCCCTGTGGGATGGGTGGTGCAGGTGATGGTGAAGAGGTTGGAGGGGTCTTCTGGAGACCTTTCTCTAACCATGATCATCATGGGTCCACCTGGGCCAGGTTCCTTCAAGTTGAGTCCATGAGAGGGTTGGGTACCTCCAAGGATGGAGACCCACCATGTCCCTGGGTCTTGTCCTTGTTGGGACAGGGTGGGACCTCCCTCATCCAACCCTGAACCCAAACCAGATCCCACCTCAACCAACACAGGAGCATCTGGATGAGGTTCCTCATGGATCCTCCCAGTGAGGTCTGGAGACCTCTAGGGATGGAGACCCACCACCCTGAGGGAAGGGTTTTGTCCTCCCATCCCATCTCCTCATCCCCAGGACCTCCCACCCCCCATGGGACCCTCCAAGGAGGACATTTCCCACCCTCTGTTCCCACCACCCAGGGTTGCCCAAGGCAGCAGTGATCACCGAGATGAAGTTGATGTTGGTGGCCAACCTGGGTCGTCTCTGTGGCCTCCGACCCGATGACGTCATCTACCCGACGCTGCCGCTCTACCACTCGGCCGGGCTCCTCATCGGGGTGGGCGGGTGCTTGGAGGTCGGTAGGTACCTTCAACACCTCCCCGTGGCCTGGCCAGAGTGGGGAGGGGACAAGGACAGGCAGAGAGAGGTGGTGGAGATGATGGATGGATGGATGGATGGATGGAGATACAGGTGGGAAGAGGAAGAAGGGAGAGAGGGAGGTGGGTCCATAGATGGGTGAAGGATGGATAGAGGGGTGGGTGGACATTTTAGATGGATGGACAGAAGTGGGTGGAGATGGATGGAGAGGGGTGGAGATCCAGATGTTTATGGAGATGGATGGAGGGTCAGATGTTTATGGAGATGTTTCATGGAGATGGATGGAGGGCCAGATGTTTATGGAGAGGTTTCATGGAGATGTTTTATGGAGAGGGGGATGGATGGAGAGGGGTGGAGATCCAGATGTTTATGGAGATGGATGGAGGGTCAGATGTTTATGGAGATGTTTCATGGAGAGGGATGGAGATCCAGATGTTCATGAAGATGTTTTATGGAGAGGATGGAGATCCAGATGTTTATGGAGATGTTTTATGGAGATGTTTCATGGAGAGGGATGGACCGAAGGCTGATGGAACATGTGAGGATGGAGGGAAGAGAAGGGAAGAAGAGCGAGAACAGGAGAATGAGGTCCATAGCTCCAGGATGGCTGGTGGGATGGATGAGTAGATGCCCAGACAGATGCCCACCATGTTCCTCCAGGAGCCACCTGTGTCCTGCGAGCCAAGTTCTCCGCCTCTCAGTTCTGGGACGACTGTCGCCGTTACAACGTCACCGTCATCCAGTACGTGGGGGAGCTGATGCGTTACCTCTGCAACGCCCCCAAGGTGAGGTCCTCACCACCCCTCACCAGCCCCAAACCCACCCCAGGCTGGAGAAGGTGACACCTTGGAGCTGCTCCCCACCTTTTGTCACCCCCCCCCCCCCCGCGGGACAACGAGTTTTTTTCCCCCCCCCCCCCCACAGCGTGACAACGAGCGGGAGCACGGGGTGCGCTTGGCCTTGGGCAACGGTCTCCGAGGTGAGGTGTGGAAGGAGTTTCTCCAGCGCTTCGGTCCCATCTCCATCTGGGAGTTTTATGGAGCCACCGAGGGCAACGCTGGTTTCATCAACTACACCGGCAAGATCGGGGCGGTGGGAAGAGCCAACGTGTTCCTCAAGGTGAGGCCACCAGTGGTGGTGGTGGTGGTGGTGGTGGTGATGG